AATATATAAAATATATATATATATATATATATATATATATATATATATATATATATATATATATATATATATATATATATATATATATCGTATTGGACTCGAGTCGCTGAAAATAGCGACTCGAGTAGACTCAAGTCAGAGTCAATGACTCGACTCGTTACAACACTGGGATATACACTCAGAGTAACATCACAAATATTATATATATATATATATATATATATATATATATATATATATATATATATATATATATATATATATATATATATATATATATATATATATATATATATATATATATACCCTTTTATTTGTTAAAATTGTAAACTAATTTTAATTTCACCATACTTCTTGGATATTAGTAGATGTATTACTGACAAAATTATACCTTTGTTGGCTAATGGTTCTTGTCAATCCTTTTCCATTGACACTGTAAGTTACGTTCGTCATGTGAACATTCAGTTTGTTGATGAATGTAATTTCAACACGAGTTGGTTGACCAGGTTTTACTGGGTCCAAGAACTAAGAAAACAGTGAAGTGGATATGATTGACATGTGTTAGAAGTGAGCTCTCCTTGATATTTCAAGTCGTTTAGGCTTCAAAATTAGTTAAAATCATAACAGAGAAAGTCAATTGGCCATTTACTGCGTGGTGAAGACGTTTTGGCAACTTCTGCAGATATTTCAACTGTTTATTATCGCTAATTGCAAATGCCAGTCACTGTAAAGGATCGAAAACGCTTTCCCAATGGTATCACGGCAGGCATTTACTTTTCTCGTCGGGCAAATTTCTTTCTGCTCCTGCTAATATTTCCCCATGCACTGTAAAGCCCGTTTACACGACCAATTTTTATGTGGCAATTTTTCATATTTATATGTGAGAAATGTATTTGGTCGTGTAGATGCCGGAGACAACAAATAATTGTTGATGCACTTGATTCCTGTTTAAAAAATATCTATGAACAGCCCAATAAAACATGGCGCGGACACTAATTATACTTTTACAAATACGGCGGGGAAAAAAATATGACATTTTATGTGTCAAGTAATCTACACGAGCAATTTTTCGTATGTGACAACTTTTATTTGTCATATAAAAGCTAACACGCTAGCTTTTCAGCAACTGTATTTGCCACAGAAAAAATTGTCCAATTTTCCTCGTCTACACGAGCAAATAAAAATTGTCACATCAAAATTGTCACATAAAAATTTCTCGTGTAAACGGGGCTTAAAGGATCGTATGCCTGTTCCAGCTAGACTAGTGTACAGTTGGCCTATTCTATATCTAGCCTATTCGTGAGATTATAGTTGGCATAATTACTCAATTCTCATACCTGAATAGCAATACATTCAGCATGAAAAAGTTGTATTTTGCAATCCTCTACGAACTGCTTCTTCGTCTCCAGAACTTTTGCAATGGCGACAATTTTCATAAAATTAAGATCTGAAAGTTTGCTGACGTATTCATCGGCACTCACTACAATTTCTTTTTCCACATCTAAAAAGATACAATAAAATTATGTTGATGTTGAAGTAAAAGAGGCGAGCTGGGCCGTGGAAAGGGGGAATAATGGTTGGTTGAAATACTGTGGGGTAGGGTAGAGGTGCAAGATTTTATCGTTATTTTCTTGTATCGTAATTTAAGAAAAGCCCTCGCTATCATGGTGTTACTGAACTTTTTCAAGATTTACGCCGACTAAAACACATCGATAAGCAGGTGACGCTGCGCACAGGGCCGCAGCTGTAGCGGGGGAGGGGGTGACACGCCCTGAACTCGTCTTTTTGGCAAAATAACGATTTTATCGGCAAATCGTTTTTGTAGTCGGCGAAAATATTTGAGTGACTCGGAGAAGAGTTTTAGTTACAGCAAAAATTTTAATAAATTTATGAAAATATTACCGAAAAATTTAAGAAATTGCGGTACATGAATTGGAAAGTTAGTCAACAATTGTTTGTCCGCAAAACTATTTTACCTCCCCTCTCGCTATGGCCCTGGCTGTGCATGAACGTACTTTAACGTTAAGCTACATTTGGACACAAAATTGTACATACTTTCTCCGGCAGGGACAGTTATATTTTCTAACTTCTCTCTCTTAACCAGTGCTTTCATTCTGCCGGTATATTCTGTTGTGCTGGCTACTACAGTGACATTGACAGTCGAAGTTTGATGTGAGATATTTCTAAGGTGAATTGTACATGTAAAATCTGTGCCATTTTGGATCATTGTTCCAGGCTTCATAGTTAAATCTAAAATGCAAGATAAGATTATTTTAAGGAAATTTTATCACTGCACCTAACTAAAAAGAATAAATCATAAATTCCCAATGAAAAAAAATGAGGTTTATGAAGCAAGAATTAGGAGATGTTCAGGAAAAATAGTAGACCAAAGCTTTTAGCTTCATTCAGCTTATTTAACAACATTTTTTGTAGTATAAGTTTTTCTTTTTCTAAGGCTTATTTGTAAAGGATCACTCATCAGAATAATTGTTTAAGGAATGTTTAGTTAACTGCAGGCAAAAATTGCATGCACAATGCACAATAAATGCAATCAATGCACAATGCGCAATCAATGCACAATAAATGCAATCATGCAGTCAATGCACAATAAATTTGTTATCATGACTGCACAGTTCAGCCTTTTGAATGATGGTTTTTAAGGCGCATTTTAGCTCTTTTAATTGAAAAACTAACTAGGAAAATATCAATTAAGCATAATTCAAGATCAGTAAACACAATGTTTTTAACAATAAAAATATTTTAAAATGTTACAAACATTGAGTTTACTGATCTTGAATTATGCTCAATCGATTTTCGTAGAGATAATTCCTAGATAATTAAAGGAGTACATTTGCCCCGGGGCCCCGCCTTGATATGGTCCCAACTTGAGAGGGAGAGCCTAAAATTGAGTAGGTTCTTTAAACTAGTCAGCACAGTTTTGAAATTGAGGGCCCCTTAATTAAACTACTTCCACATGCAGTCTAGGTAAGGTCTAGTTGGGTCTAGCTAAAAATATGATGTCATGGGGCCCCCAGAGAAGATTTGTCCCGGACCCCGCGAATTCTCTCGGCGGCCCTGTTTAACCCTTCACGAATATGCAATTAATATTGATTCAATACAATTTTTAAATACGCTATAAATATGAAATAAAATGCAATACAACTAGAAGGCAAGGCATTTAGATGAATTGTATTGCAATGATATCTAATGCAACTCGACATATATACCAATTTCGAAGTCATTTCCATCCTCATCTTTGTTTAAAAGGGCTTTTCTCAGTCCTGAACCTTGGCCAAAACTGTGAGCATTTTGGAATGCTGCTCTTTCTTCTGCAGATCCTTCAGCATGTTTGTAGAGGCAAGTGATGTCTTCACGTTTGTCTTCTCCAACCATCTTTGTGCTGATGTATTTCCCTATATACGTCTTGTTTCTGTACTTCGCCTCTGTATATTGGTGAGAAAAAGTCAAAGTTATAGGTTTGTTGCATGTAAGTGAATATGTTCTCACCATTGATGGCAGTGCCATGTTTATAAATATCAATTGGATGGTGTGTGTGTATGCGGGGGGTGGGGAGATCCCACCACCCAGCTCCCATGTTGGCCCTTCCAGTGAATTATCGTTATTTATTCAGTGCATGAAGGTTCGTCATGTCGAAAATATAGAGGAGAAAAGAACTTAGTTAACAAGATACCAAAAAGTAGCCTGTGATGTAGTCTGAAAATCAAGCAACAGATGTTCCAAAATACAAATACATTCTGGGGTGGGCAGATAAGTTTGCGTTTTCCAGTTCGTTTCCTCTGATCGCTCCTCCATCGACGTATTCGTAAAAGAGGTGATTGATTATTGGTGATGCTAATTTTACTTGTAGCGTATCCACTAAGGCTGAGCTGCATCTGAGGTTTTCGTGCGGAAAACAATGTGTTATCGAACATTGAAATTAGAAGGAACAATCACTTTGAGGAAGAAACCGGTTTGCTGCTATAACTTGATTTGTGGATGACTGCATTATTTGTTTATATGTGAGATCTGTCACGTTGCCAACAAGACAATATCATGTTTGATTGAATACAATGATTAATTGTACATGTTAATCGAAACCTCTTATTATATGTGAGACATTATTATAATAAATACGAGCTATATATAGGTTCATCAAACAACCGTATCAAAGAATTTTTGTTTCCCTTCATGTCATATTCAGAATCATTTCAATTAACCCCAAAATCTGGAAATATTTCTGAAGGATGTCGCATGCTGCCTACCGTATGCCTATATATAGACCCTAAATTCTGGTTTTGAAATGTTAATTAGTTCTATTTTTATATTTAGCCAGTAATTATAGCTAGTTCATAAATAATTAATGAGGCATGTATGCCTTTGTTATATCTCATTTACTCTCAAATGATTTAACCATCTCTTAAATTAATAGTCTTTTTTATAAATCAATAAAATATAGCTCTGTTGTTTTTAAGTTCTGATATACATGCATCTAATAAAATTACGCCGAAAAATTAAGTTGGAACCAAAATACCGGTTTTCGTCATGTGTTTGATTTAAATAATGATGTTCTTTTTTAATGTGTAAAATATTGGAAAATGTTTTCATCGAGATACAAATTTAAAGCATTTCAAAATTAAGGAATTTTACCCGCTTGATTATAGAATTCATGCAACATTTTGCTTTTCGAATATAAACAAATGCAAAAATTAAACTTAGTGAGCTTGAAATAGAGCTTTCTTCATGCGTCTGGCCATTCTCAAGATAATTTACTTCTTGCAATAAATTACCATTCCTTTCATTCGCTTGTCGGCTTGTTGTACGCACCAATACGTTGTCATGCATGCAGCGCATGAATGCAGGACAGAATGTTGTCTGGAAATATATACACCTACCCTCAAACACAATATCGCCACTATCATCCCTTAACGCGATCCATTTCACATAATCAGCATTAACTTCAGCAAAAACAAACGCAGTGTCATATCCGACGTAAGTTTCACCATTTTTAATGGCGGTCAGTGGAGCAGGTCCCATCTGATACAACTGAGAACTTTTTTCTTGTGGTGTACAATCGACGGCATGCCAACCATCATAGTTATTGGATGCTAGATCTTTTCTTTTGATCCATATTTCATTCCAGACATGAAAATTCCTGCAGATGAAGAAATAACACGGTATACAAATGTCTTGTATACAAATAAACGACTAAACGAGTTAATCCATGTTTTACGTTTATATATTAGTTAAACGTGTACATTGTTATAACGTTAACATATGCATGATTTCACATGTGGAATTGTCTTTTCATGCCGACCGTGTGAAGAGTGTTTCAATTGAACATGTGAAAAATGATTTCACATGTGAAATTATTAATAATTAAAATTCACATATGATCCCTTAATTTCAGATGTGAAAATATATATATGCAGTTTCACATGTGAAGGTTTCACATGTAAAATTATATGTGAATTATCGTAAGAGAAATTAAAATTAAAGAATTCCCTTACGAAAATTTCACATATGATTTCACATGATCTGAAAAAGATTTTTCACTGTGAAGTTCCAATTCCACATCGAAATAGAAATTTCACACATGTGAAAAATGTGAAAATCAAATTTTATGTGTGAACATTCTAAATGCTGCATAGTATAAAGAAATGACTATTTTAACACGAGCAATCTTCCAATATTACGTAAACTACATGTATTAATTTCACGACATTATTACTAATTGTAATTAACAATGTCTTGTCCTGAATTGCTTTATACCCATAATCACCAAGCCGCGAATAATTGTTTTAGTATTTCTACACAAGTCTTTTGTATTTTTTTGGGACTGAATTGATTTTAATTTTCCTAATTTCTTTATCATGCAGTAACTTCCACAAAACGGCTAGCCGCCATTTTTCAAATGTCGGTTTTGTTATATTCACCTGCAGGCGAATATAGCAGCTTGATGCGTCAAATTTGACCAATCAGGTTGTGGGATTTGTTATACTCACTTGTGCAAAAATATTAAAACCAAATATCCAAAAAAACATAGCTTATATTATATATTTTTCTTTCGTTATGTATCATTTTCCAAAACAAGTAAATTCAAGTCGACTTGAAAAAAGTGAAATCCATACTACGCGAAATTTGCAATTGCACCACTAAATCCATAGTATATCCATCCTATTTTCATACTATATACCCATACTATGGAATGAATATACAATTATTATGGATAACCAAAATCCATTCTATTTCCAATAAAGGTCCTTCTATGGATTTGCAATTTTTTTTTCAGTGATCAGCGCAGTAAAATTGCTGCCCACGTTAACAATTACGTAAAACACAAAACAAAATATCAATATACGTTTTCCACACCAGTTTTTATCAGTAGAATTTTATCTTTAAAGGGCATTTTAACATGTGACATTTTCGTATGCCCGTACGAATAAAACAAAACATGCACAATGCAAAAACATCGAACGTGAGGCAATGTTACTGTTGTTCACATTGTAAATTGGTTTTATTCAATCACTGTTCTGTTTTTCCCTGCTTTCCTAGATGAAGAACCAATTTATAAAGATATATGGAAGAAGAATTAGCAATAAACACTGGGGAACTGAAAAAATTGAAAATCCATATATAGAAGGTCATAGAGTGGAAATTGTATGGACCTTTATTGGAAATAGAATCAGTGGATTTTGGTTAACCATAATAATTGTATATTTCCATTCTATGGATATAGTATCGAAATAGTATGGATATACTATGGATTTAGCCGGTACAATTGCAAATTTCGTAGTACGGATTTCACATTTTTTTCCAGTGAAAACTCACCAAATGCTATCATCACAAACATCCTCCATTCTTAATCCATCTTCACTTTCAATAACATCTATGGTCATAGATTCATCAGTATCATGAGCGCTGTCAAAATTTGTTACGCATCTTGCAGGAATTCCCAACGCTCTTAGTGCAGTATTCATGACACCAGAAAAAACCCAGCACTGACCATATTTCACTGCTTGATTAGTTTTGTAGTATTCTTGGAATATATCTGCACTGCCAAGCCAGCTCGATGGTGATTTACCTTTCTCATATTTACCTGACCAATTGCCCACCAATAGGCCATCGTCTTGTTGGCAGTTTAGCTAAATGTATATGATGAAGGGAATGGAATTGAGTTGCAGAACACTAAAGACAGTCTAAGCCTCTTTCGTATATGGTATCAGTGTTTTGCAATAATTTCGGTTATTCAACTATAATACTAGTCTCAATAGATTCCTTTGGTGATTATGCAACAAAAATATTTACACACTTTCTTTATGATTTTATTGTAAAGAAAAGTCAAAATAACCGGATAAGATACATTACTAAAGTATCTTAGCTTGCTTGGTTCTGGAGATATTTAACAGTATTTTTAAATACATGCAACATATTAAAATATGCAAATTATCTTCACTATGAAGGCATATTACAATAATAACTTTATGAAAAACTTCAACATCTTGGAATATTGTCCAGCGACATTAAGGAACCGTGCGTATGTGTTAGGTCAATATACTAGAAATATATGTTGTATGTCAAAAAATTTGAATCAATTAACAACAAGAAACTTTTTTCAGAAAAAGATATTGTGCAATTTTACGTCATAGTGAGGAAAATTTGCGTATAAAACATTTTTAAATATCTCAAGAAATAAACAAGGCAAAATAGTTTTCCAAAGCGTCTTTCAAGTTATTGCAAGTAATTTTGAAGTACTATTTAATTAAAACATGAGGAGCAGTGTTTTATCAGATGTAAAGATACGAGGCGAAGCCGAATGTCTTTAGGTCTGATAAAACACGCACTGCGAATGTTTTGAATTGTTTCGAAAACGATCGATCTAGTAAGTTCATTGGGGAAGGAATTTTCAAAAAATAAATAATATTATTAATGGCTTTGCTGTAACATCCGGGAGTTATTTACCAAATTTATCAACAATTCTGGCACCACTGCACATCCTGTTGGAAAAAGGGAAAAGCTGGAAATGGAGTGAAGAGCACCAAGAGGCATTTAGAAAATCCAAAGAGTTCTTGAAGTCCTCACATCTATTGGTGCATTATGACCCGGAGAAGGAGTTAATACTGGCTTGCGATGCATCACCATATGGCTTGGGGGCTGTTTTGTCACACAGGATGGATGACAACACAGAACAACCAATTGCATTTGCCTCGAGATCATTGTCCGCAGCTGAAAAAAACTATTCTCAACTAGACAAAGAGGCGCTAGCCATCGTATTTGGTGTCAAGAAATTTCACCAGTACGTGCATGGTTGACATTTCACCATACTGACAGATCACAAGCCGCTTGAGCGGGTAGTTCATCCGGATAAAATGACACCACCAATGGCTGCAGCTCGAATTCAGCGGTGGGCCTTAATTTTGTCTACGTATGACTACGCCATTCAGTACAAAGAAGGAATTCAGAATGCAAATGCTGATGCCCTCAGTAGATTACCATTGCAAGACACCCCAGGTTCAACACCGGTTCCTGAAGAAACAATCTAACTCATGGAACTATTGCAGACTACTCCAATAAGAGCAGAGCAAGTGAAGAATTGGACAAAGAGAACCCCTATACTTGCCAGAGTTTTGAAATTTATTAAACAAGGTTGGCCTAGCAAGTGTCCAGATGGGGAGTTTCAACCATATTTTCCACGACGAGACGAGCTGAGTGTTCAAGACGACTGTATACGTTGGGGAAACAAAGTGGTTGTTCCACCCCAAGGAAGAAGGCAAGTGGTTGACGAATTACATGAAACCCACCCAGGAATATGTAAGATGAAAAGTCTAGCAAGAAGCTACGTGTGGTGGCCGAACATGGATAACGATTTGGAAAACAAAGTACGAACGTGCAACAACTGCCAGATAAATAGAAAGAATCCCCCTGAAGCCCACTGCACCCGTGGGAATGGCCAAGCCAACCATGGGAAAGAATTCATATTGACTTTGCTGGTCCATTCTTGGGGAAAATGTTCCTCATCATGATCGATGCGTACTCAAAATGGCTCGAAGTGTATCCAACGAATGTGGCAACATCCAGAGCAACATTTGAAAAACTTCGATGAACATTTGCAATCCACAGCCTTCCTAAAACAATTGTTAGTGATAACGGTAGTAATTTTTGCAGTGAAGAATTCGAAGAATTTCTGGTGAAAAACGAAATTCATCACAGATGTACTGCTCCTTATCATCCAGCCTCCAATGGACTTGCATTTGCAGAACGGGCGGTCCAAACGTTTAAGGAAGGGATGAAGAAGATGTCAAATAAGGAAAGTTTGGAAACCAGAGTGTCTCGGTTTCTGTTCAAATACCATATCACGCCACACTCAACCACAGGGATAGCGCCAGCGGAAATGCTTATGAGCAGAAAACCAAGATCTCGCTTGGACGTACTACATCCAGATGTAAGGCAAAGAGAACAGAACCAACAGAAGAAGCAGAAAGAGTTACACGATCAACATGCAGTGGATCAACAATTACGACCAGGTGAGTTAGTATATTCGAGAAAATATGGAAAACAACAAAAGTGGTGTCCAGGAGTTATTAATGCACAAACCGGGCCAGTTTCCTATACCATACAGTTGGAAGACGACCGCGAGGTTCATCGCCATCAAGATCAGGTGATCCATAGCGAAACACCCGAAGAAAACGAAAATGACGTCATTGATCCAGATATCGACCAGCAACCGGTTCCAGATCAACAAGTGGTTAGCGAAGAAAATGCAGTTCCAGCAGCCCGATATCCGCAAAGAGATAGACAGACACCGGATTATTATTCGTGAGTGATTACATTAATTTTAGATTATAAAACACTAAGGGATTATAAACTGTTAGCTTAAAGTGTTGACATTATTAGTTTAGATGTTATGTTGCAGGGACTCTGGTTTTAATCCAGGGAAAAAGGAGTGTAACATCCGGGAGTTAGTACTTCCGGCGGGGAAAAAACAGGCACCTCGAGGAGAACTAGACAGCTGTATTAAAAAGGGAGTTTTACTTCGCATAGTTGGATTATTAAGGTTAAAATACTACATTTGCAGAATCCTGGATTCTGATTGGTCGACGTGCGGTCCGTAAAAATGCGTATCCGGACCGTGGTCCATATTTTCCCGTATCCGAACCGGTTTCCCGTATGTCAATTTGACAGGCTCGAATTTGAAACGTTTTAAACTTTTTACATCTTTATAAGGTCGTCATGTGAAGAAAAAGTATCCTTGGATCATTTTTAAGAATAAGAAGTCTTGGAAATATTAAGTACTTGTACCAACACATATTTCATCGAAAAAGCTAAGAAAACAAGCCGTTTGAACTCTTACTGGCAACCGTAAGTTTTGGCGGGAAAATTTTTTGAGTTGTTCACTTGTTTCAAAAAATAAATAAAGATGAATTAAACGTCTATAATACCATATTCTAAACAAATATCATATAAACTGGGTTTAGAAAACCTCAGGCAAATACTTTCCCGTACAGACCTCGCTCTCGGTTAATAACCCTTAATGACTTTATGAAAAACTTTAACATGCATCATGGAATATTGTGCAGCGACATCATAAAACTGTGTGTATGTGTTTGGTCAATATACTAGAAATATATGTTGTATGTCAAAAAATTTGAATTAATTAACAATAAGAAAACTTTTTTTCAGAAAAAGATATTACGCAATTTTAAGTCATAGTGAGAACAATTTCCGTATAAAACATATTTTTTAAATATCTCAAGAAATAAACAAGGCAAAATAGTTTGCCAAAGCATCTTGCACGTAATTTTGAAGTACTATTTAAAACATGAGCAGCAGTGTTTTATCAGAGATTTATTTGAATTGCTTCAAAAACGATCGATCTAGTAAATTCATTAGCGAAGTAATTTTCAAAGAATACGTTGTGTAAGTAGAGAAAATCAAAGTTAAAGTTTAAGTACGTAAATGAAGGGAAATCTCCGTCACATATAAAGATACGTAACGATATACGCTTATGATTTTTCTTTGTGTTTTCCTCATGAATTATTAATGAATTTTTGAATTCTGATTATCTGCAATCATAAAAAAGAGTGAATTAAATTTCGTTGGACAATAATTATAAGAAAAGAATAGAAGAGAAGACAAAAGGCATCATATGTTATTGCAAAGTTAAGCATGGTTTGTAAACAGACTTATGCATGGAACGAATTGGAAAGGACAAAGTATAGAACAATTATAAATTTTTATTTAGGACATTGAAATAAAAGTTTTGAAGCCTACATGTTTGTATTCTTAAATGTATTTCTATAATGATTTCCACAGATTGTCGACGGAAGCTTGTAATTGTGCTGTAAACCGTTTTTATGCCCGAACGGTTTTAAGGATACACCGATATCTACTGTATATCAGCTCTATTTATTTAGTTTATTTGTTTGAGCGCAACAAATTCGCCATAGGCATGAGGTAACATAGACAATAGAACAAGACGTCTTTACGTACATAATGGTCTATCTACAAAACCCCAACTTGATATAACAACCAAAACCCAAACGCACAAATCAGAAATAAAACCTAAAAACTTAAGAATAGCATAAAATACAAAACAGCTAATAATACTATTAGGAACGCGACGACCTTTTGGGCAAAATATCTTATAAGTTCTTATATTGCCTCCTTCAAAGACTGAAAACACGAAAAGTATTTTTAACGGTATCGGCATTTTTGCTTGCGATATTGCCGTTTTTGTATTATAATTGTCATAAATCAAATTGTCTAAATCTAAATGTCATTTGTGAATTTCGAAGTGAAATAGAATATTGGTATATCGTTTACCATACAATATTGGCCATTAAAAAATCATTAATAATTCATGAAGAAAACACAAAGAAAAATCATAGGCGTGTCGTATCTGTATAAATGTGATACAGATTCATGTGATCATGGATAATAAAATAAATGGATTGGAAACTTCTGACGTCATTGACTGCATCCTTGTTGAAAAACGTGACGTCACGCGTATTGCGAATGTTACCAAAGTTCTCGGCATATTTGTTGTTTTGCTATATTTTCCACTTTAAAAGGGTGATCTTGAAGCGTAAACTGGTCTAATTGTTTTAAAAACATGCCTAAGCCACGACAAAGTATTCAAGGTAAATGTTTTTCGTCTTTGTTTTGTATTTTTTTACATTTGTAGCTACGAAATTGGCGTCACAAATTTTAACGAAATTTGCGATGTATTTTTCACTGTTTAGTGCTTGAAATATTTGCTAAAATTGACTGGGAATACTTAGATTTTTCATCGTAGAATGGCGTGGTTACATTTATTTGCTCTTTGACTAAAATGTTTAGCTGTATTATTGCTAAACATGCCGTTTTTGAGAATTTGATTTTCAACTAGGTTGAGGCATCCAACCACGCCATCAATCCCAGTAAAAACATTAGGTCACGTCAGCTAGTTTCCTATCCATTTATTTTATTATCCATGATGTGATTAACATAAACTTTAACTTTGATTTTCTCGGCTTAGACAACGTTTATTTTTAAAATTACTTCGCCAATGAACTTATAAGATGAGTCGTTTTTTAAGTTGTTTACAACATGTGCGTCCGTGTTGTATCGGATATACAAACTCTCGGCTTCGGCTCGAGTTTGTATATCCGATACAACACAGCCGCTCATGTTGTAAACATTACATAATATTGGTTAGCGGTACTATCATCGGTATAGATTTCCACATCGATGCATTATTAGATTTTTAATATAATGAAGAAATAATATTATTAAGTTTGCAATATAGTCAATATAAAACGATATGATACGATAACATATTGCAAATGGTCAGGAAATTCTCCTGGTACAATATGATACTGTATAATTGAGTTCCTCATAATATATAACCTTACCACAGCAGATAGGACTCTTCCTAACCATGAAGCGCTGTTCTGTTTTCGATGAGATTTTAAAGGATGTCGTTCAAATCGTTTATCTTTTTCCAAGAGGAGTAGCACACAGTCTAAAACATTTTCTTCAAACTACATAAAAAAGTGATTAATATACTTTTCATTATTACACAATTTATAAGTTTACTCTCACATCTGATAATAAAAATTCCCCCAAGGTCATATGAAACGATTCTTGCCGGAGGTACAGTATATGGTTGCATTATTTTTTCCATTGATGCAAAAACCTTTACTATTTCCTAGATGAGAAGCTGTATAATGTTTTAAACAACTTCACAAGTAAAAATCGCATGTGCATGAGCACGGTATCTGAATTAGCATTGCATTTAAGTTATTTATTTGGGTTCATCATGATTTGTATAGGATTAATGTTCAATCGGCAGGGTTTTAACCAATCAGAATCGAGTAAATTGACTGAAGTGATATTAGCATTTAGAACTTTGGAAGTTTCAAAGCACGTTTTGTGCTATTACCTGACCAAACTCCCAATGTAATGCAGTAATCCCATATGCACCATTACTTGCACTGCCACGATATATAAGACCAACATCATCTAAAACATATTCCTGTCTTAACTCCTCACTCTCAAGATAAACATCGTCATCTAGATAACGGCAAAATATTATAATTAAAGTTATTTACTAGATAATTCATACAGTTATTTTTTATGCCATGTAACTTAAGCCCTGAGCAAACTTACCAATGTTTCGCCATGTTTCCAAGAGTGGGCAAACACGAAGAAACATTACTATATAGTGGGAAACATTAAATGTTTCTGAATTCGCTAGGAAACATTTTTGCTTCTCGGGAAGCAAATTTTGTTTCCGCAACAATGTTTCCACGGGTGGGCAAATAGGGAAACATTGAAGGAAACATCGAGTTTCACAAATGTTACCACAAAAATGTTTCCTAGTTCGCCCAGGGCTTTACAGAGAAGTATGGAATATCATAATTATACTAATATAAATAATCATAGCCTTAAAATGATCATCGATCAACTGAACTATATGAAAAGTCATATAAAAATTCATATATTATTGAGTACCTTTATTCCATGCGTTGCAAATAACGATGATGTCAAAGTAATGTAAGAGTATAAAAGATGAAGTCGAGGGAAGTAAAACTTCAATTTTATGCCTGAAAGAAACAGTAAAGTAATAACGGTTATGAGCACTATGAAACTAAGGAATATATAAAAGAACTTAACATGTGAAAGAACTAATTAACAGCATTGAACTCCCGGTGTTAATGAATTCCTTTATCAGACTCATTAGTAATTCATGCCCAAAAAACACAAAAAGACCAGCACCGTATCGTTGTCTTGATAACTTAACTGGGGTCGGTTGTATAAAACTCTTAATCACTTTTTAAAAACCTTTTTGGTAGTTAAATAGTGATTAACTCTCAAGTAGGCGCTTCTTATTGGATGACATTTGCACTTAATCATAGTTGACTTTAATCACTTTTTATAGGGGGAGGGGGGTGACTAGAGGTATACAAATCCGCCGTTCCGCCCAAATTTGCTGTATTAATAAGATCCGAAAATCCGTGTAAAAATTTTTTCTGTGAAATCCGACGATCCGAAAACCTATTCCACCCCCCCCCCCCTTTATACAACCCCCCTGGACTGTAGCCTCGAATTTCTCATTAAATACAAGGGCCGGTTGTATAAAAAAGTTACTAATGTTAACTATAGTTAAGTGCAAACGTCATTCAATAAGAAGCGCCTATTTGAGAGTTAATCACTATTTAACTACAAAATAATTGTGATTAAAAGTGATTAAAAAAGTGATTATTAAGAGTTTTATACAATCGGCCCCAGGACTTTTAGTCTGTTTAGGTTTGATGTCGAATAGGTTTGAAATTCTGGTTAAACAGGGGCCACAGGGCCCATGACATTATCGCACACCTGGAGTAATATTTCAAATCGGAGTGGGTGTTTTAGACATTCTTTGTTCGTGGCACTTTGGGATTTGGAAGCCATGCATGCAAGTCTAAAACACCAAGGAGGATTTGAAATATTACTTATTACACATCATTCATTAGATGTTTGTAATGTTACTCTGAGTGTATATCTACACCGGGCAAGCTTGAAAAAAAAAAGCCTGGCCACGGTGGGAATCGAACCTACGACCTTTGGAATAGTAGCCCAATATGCTTTGCTAACTGAGCTACGCATTTCAGGTCGGTTCGAGTATGTGATATTTCGGAACTTAGTCTAGTTGGCTCAATATCAATGTAATCTAGTACGTAATCATGATTTTTTTCTGTGTTGGTGTTATGTGCTCAGCTAGGTGAATATGATGTTTGTGATGTCACTCTGAGTGTATATCCACACAGCTAGGGCAAGCTTGAGAAATGCTATATGTACATAGAATGCGGTGTGGATTTTCACTCAGAGCTAGTAACATCACAAGCATTATATTCACATAAGTACATAACACCAACACAGAAAATCATGATTACTAGATTACATTGATATCGAAGGAACTAAACTCAGTTCCGAAATATCACTTACTCGAACCGACCTGACCGCGTAGCTCGGTTGGCAGAACATTAGGCTAGTATTCGAAAGTTTGTAGGTTCGATTATATTCCCACCGTGGCCAGGGAAATTGTTCAAGCTTTGCCTGTGTGAAAATACACTCAGAGTAACATCACAAACATCATATTCATCTGAATTCATAACACTAACACAGATATTCATTCATTAGTAGACTGCGAGCAATCCCTCTATTTTCCTTCGTTTTATTGTTTCCCGGACTAAGATTGAACGCGCGGGAAAATGGCAAAAAGGGGCGGAGACGAGAGGAAAAATAGAGGGATTGCCGCTTTAACTAATTGTCAAGCGTGTTTGATTTTCCCGTTGCACAGACAACGGGAAATTCTGATTGGTTAAAAACAATAAATATTCTGATAACATTAAAACCCATCACTCAGCTGGCTTTATACTGTAAACACACATTTGGCGAAATTAATATCTATCTGGCAGCGGGAAGCAACGAAAATTGATACGTATGTAGTTGAAAGTCTTACAACAAGCTTACAGAAACAAACGCTTGCAATAGAGTGCTTACTTGAAGGTAGAGATGTTCTAGCTGTCCTTCCTACGGGATTTGGAAAGAGTTTCCTGTTGGCTGAAGATATTGGAAGGGTTTGTTCAAGCCCAACTAGTATTATAGTATTTAAGTTGTTCCTCTTCGTAGCATTACTATTATTGAACAGTTTATACGGTCCAACGACTTTGCAAATATTAACTCGGCCGTTCTTATAGTGGGATCAAGGAAACTAATTTTCAGATATTTGTGTATGCGTCTGCTGATGAAGCTTAAATTGAGCCTTTGTCTCCTGAATTTGTTGCCTTGTTGAAGAATAAAAGCTCGCCATTCAGAAACGAACTGCCCTCATAGTCGTTGATGAATTGGCAGTTAGGCTAATTAATACATGGTGACTTGGTGAGTTTATGGAGTTTGGGTTTATTATAATATTGTATGTCTTTGTATTAAAATATGTATGTATGTGTTGTATATTGTATGTATTGTTTTGATCTTAAATGGAATAGTCATGTTGACAGTATCAATGTATCTAAAAGATTGCATTTTTTATATTAAACTAAACCTCTATGCCTCTATGTTTACAAGCTTAAAATTTAAACTTTCGGAAAATTGGAAACATGCAAATGTACGTATACGAATGCTAAAACTATGAACTATGAATTAAAACGTTTACATGTAGAACTTGCGATTATGAATGTGTTCATGTATGTATTAGTCTTAATTATTGGAAAGTCCTCAGGGATTAATGTGCAGACAGTACAGTATTTGAGTAAATTGAGTTCAAATCCGGCAATAGTGCCGCGAAGTTTGTGATTTGGATCTTCAATGATTTCTGTATCCGTTCAATGTCTTTACTCAGGTAATTTGGGATTCCGTTATGAAAAACGGGCGATGCATATTCTACTATCTCGGTCGGATGCAAGTACAATAAAAACAAATCATCTCAGCAGCGGGTACATTCGCACGTTTTAACTAACGTAAATTACAAACAC